AGAAGTTTGTCCCATATTTATCTTATCTTGTATGCTTTGAGACCAAAAGCTTATGACCCAAGAAACCAAAAAGATAGAGAGACACTTGAAAAATGAAGAAAAGCACAATACTCTTTTGTCTGGATTCCTTATTTTCGGTTTAGTGCTTTCCTTTTTTAATGCAAAAAGAGTTTAAGAGAGGCAAAAGAAAGAAGGCTAAAGTAGGAAAAGAGAGATCCAAAGGTAACTACAAAACAATTAATGGTAAGAAATTTTAAACTAGTAAGTTCTCTGCAATTCATATGATTATTACATCATATCTGCCATTCAACAACTACCAATACACAAGGAAAGAAAGCCCAAATTGAATTTCAATTGTTTAATTACCAAGATGTGCTTCGACCAATAATCTCAGTGACATGTTATGATTAATACAAATGAAATGGCCATCTGATAAACAGAAAGGGCATAGAAGAGAAGACGAGTTCAGTTTCGGTCAGTGCAAGGCCTGTTTGAACAGTTTTTACAGCGTTGCATTGGAAATATCTCTATACTTAAATGCTTTATTTCATGGGGAGATATTCTCAATACAAGGTTGTAAGAGGCTGTTCAAACAGTATAAGTATGGACTTGCACTAACCGAAGCTGAAAGAAGAGAACACCATAAGCACAACAGTATCTACATTTTATTATAACAATACCAATGGATTATTGAAATTAAACATGAATGTGAAAAGGAAGAAAAAGATTAGTTTGTTCATGTCTGCAGTAATGCTACTCTATGTCAATGTTATTATGAAAGGGAGAAATTCATATTGGATATTCAATCTCCCTCAAGAAATGTATCAGAATATTGTGCTGAATGTATTCATGAAAATTTTCTGTTCTTGTGTCCTTTCCAAATTATAATACATTTTTTGTCCATCTGAGTTAATGTGGAGAGAGAGAGAGGTAAAATGGCCCAATATTAATTGGTAATTTATGATAACATTTGCAAATATAGGTACTGTTTTATTCTAACTACACTCTTTTTACCTTACCTCTGAAATTTTTAATAAAGAAATAAATGCAGTCATTTATCATCTATTCTAATTCTACCAAGTCAACTGTAGTGTCAAGAATCTATCTTAGGCTCTTTGTGGCAAATAATGTTGTAGTAATCACCACCCTAGTTAGGGCTATCAACAGTTAGGGTTCAGTCTGAGTTCATACTCAGTAAACCTGGATTTTTTTTTGGGGTTTTATTGATTTTTATTTTTTTAGGCTTTTGTTTGGTTTCTAAAATATACTGGGTTATGTTTTGGGCGTTATTTAGGCGGGATTTAGCCTAGTGCTTCTTTTAGCCAGGTTTAGTTTTGGCCCAGGTCAAGGTTTAAAATATTGATACAGTCTGATATGCCGGTAGCTAGTAGGGGCATATCGGACTGTATCGAGGCTTGTGTTCTTTGTTTTTTATTTTTAGTTTCTTTTCAATCTGGTTTACAGAGATTGGTTTAAGGTTTGTCTATCCCCTGAACCGGGTTAGACCCCGAAACACCCTCAAGGATGTATCCAAAAGCCCATGATACGATATAATATATATCAGCTGATATGACCTGATACATATCAAAATTTTGAACCTTGTCCCAAGTGGCATCTCTCTGTTGGTTCCCATCTGCTTTTTGGGAGCTATTTCTATTGTATATTCTTGTTCTTTTATTTATTTAGTACTTCCTTACCTACCTCTTAAAGAAAGCAGATCTGGAGAGATAAAATGGACAAAAACTGACAAATGATTTCAACTAATTGGGTCTGTAAAAGTCTGGCAAAGCCCTATTGAAAGATCACTAAAATCTATCACATTGCACAGTGAGAGATAGAATGGACAAAAAAAAAAAAAAGATTTTACTTTCTTCCCTCCTATACATTCCAAGATTTAAATATTTATTGGGTACTTGATAACTGGACCTGGAGTTGGACCAGATTATGATTGGCTCCATAGTTTGTGGGCCCCTGCTAACCGGGTACCCATTGCAGAGCTAAGACTGCATTAACTTCCTGCTTCCTTCAAAACGATCACATCAGCTGTAATAAAAGAGAGTCCCATAGTTGATAGCTAGGGTATTGTATTGAAAGTTTGAAAGCATATGTTTAAAGTATGCATATGTATCGGTTGATATGTATTGTGCCAATGGCCTGAAAGATTTAAAAAAAAAAATATGTATCGAGCTTTAAATCAATTCTTCTGAATTGATTTAAAAAAAAAATACCGATATTGGCTGATACGTCTTACCAACATATGGCCTGTATTAATACTTTGAACCTTAATGGTTAAGGTTATTTTAGATCTATTCAAACTGTAAGGTTGGATGAATTGGATGTTTATATATATATATATATGTGTCTGTGTATCTTTGTTTGATTATCCTTCATGATCGATCAGGTTGCAGATTTGTTTTATATCAGCGAGTGCTGCGTTTGTGCTTCCCCCCAAAGTTCACTAGAATTTCTCAGTAATTAAACAAGCCTGAAAGATGCTTCACTTCTTTGGAGAAAAAAATGGAGAACTTGGAGGCAAACTCATTAATTGCATTCACTACTTTCAACATTTTAAATGTTATAAGGACACACAGACCTTCACCCAATTTTTTTTCCTTTGAGAAGGAATACAACATGCCTCGCTGATTCGCTGTATTATGGTGCCCCTCTATTTCTGTAAGGTTTGACCTGAGACACAGGCGACCTTTCTCTGGTCCTGGCTCGGCTAGGGTTTCTGGGTAAGCTGATAATATTTATATATTTCACTTATCTTCACCCGGTCACCCCCACAAGGTCATAACTCATAACACTTGAGAATAGACAAAGACAGTGATACAGATTCATTAAAATAATAAAAGAAATGAGGAAAACCCACTGAGCAAGGACAATAATATTAATAAAATAAGCAGAAAAAGGTTGTATACTTGTATTAATGCTGAGAGTTATGTCTATAAAATTAGAGCTCTGATAACATTTATTTGCTAGAGACCGGTAGCTAGATGCTGGTGTTCTCACTTCTCACCATTAGTTAAATACATCTGAAAGGTTGCATTTTTCTAGATTATTATTAATGTACGTATACATGAGCTTGCTGTGGTTGCCAATGGCGTAACGGCTCCAGCAAATTATTGAAACAACATATTTTATGTGATGAGAAACAGCCAAAGAGTAGAATACTGGGTCAAAATCAGTTTGGAATTCTCTTCCCAGGAGACGGTTAGTTATGGGAAAAGAAAAAGAGTGGAAAAAGGGAGAAGAAACAAAAGGAGAAACAAAAATCAGATCAAGTGGAAAGTTGCAGAAATGGAGTTTTCAGCTAAGGAAGTGGAAGGTTAAATTTAAAATATAAGCCAATATTATATCATATATTCCAGAAACAGAAACAGAAACAGAAAAGAAAAGGAAAAGGAAGTGAGTACAATCACTAGAAAGCTCAGAATAGTTATTGCAAGCAAGATCACTCTTTATCAGAAAAAAAGAGGAAAAGAGACAGATCAATTATCCTTCACACACCATGTACACAGTGCTGTACACTGGCTTTATATCTGACCAACAAGATGAGTAGCCTGCTTGCCATGTATTCACTTTTTGATGGATGAACACCAAATTAAATCTGACCCGAAAGAGCCAGATGCCATATATCTCAAACCAGTCATTTTGGAATCATAATTTTGTTTTGAGTTGAACTTGAGACCTGCTCCATTGGGAGTGAGAAGGTGCCTCAACCACCCATGTCTCGTTATTGGAGCTTTGCAAGATATTCATGGTTGCTGAAAGAAATAATCTCTGATACATTGTCAATCTGGAGTTGGAATAGGTAGAACAATTGATTGGGGGATTTCATTGATGGATTACAACCCCAAAAAACCCACATTTAGCACAGACTGATACGTTGCGAAATTTTAAATCTTGTGCACAAATGTAATTAGACCGCCCCCAAAAATGGATTCTGTTTGCTAAGGAAATATAAGATATATTAGCGGCTCACAGGACCCATCATCTAATGGGTTCAGAACTGATCTAGGATAATTTTTCTGCCATCTGATTTAACTTAAATATTATTACCTTAAACTTATTAACAGTTATTAAACTACTGCAGACTTCTAGCCAGTGTTTTCAGACTCAGAGACCAGACGGTTGGGCAGCTCAAATTAACAAAAAGGTTTATTGATTGCCCAATTCTTGGAAATGTTGACTTGGTCAATCATACCCCAAATTTATATCTATATTATTAGGTATTATAACATCTAATATTTATTGTTATAAACTTGTTTTGATGAAAAATTATTAGTTTGAAAAGATAAATTGGAACCATTTTATGTCTACCCATTTATTTTATTTTATTTTATTTTTTTGCATCTTTGTTTGAGTGAGTGACTGAGTGTGACCCGATGACCAAAATGGTTCTAGTTCTGCTTCTGGTCCGAGTCTGAGAGATTAATGGAAATTAAGCTGAGTTTTGGCTTCTGATGTCCATGAAGGGACCAATTTTGGTCACTTGTGATCAAATCCTGTTGTGGGCCCAAGCCAAGACTGGTTTCCAAAAAGCTGACTTCTTCCAATTTCTTGTTGCATAGGGTCAAGATACATGGATTATCACTGATTAATCACCATAGCTTGTGTGATTTTTCATTCATTGGGTTCTTGACTCCTTGACCAAATTAATGAACAGTTCTGATGACTGATCTATATTTGTGTGGTCCACGTAAGGAAGCATTAATTCATTGAAGGATACAAAACTGAGTCTGAGAGTGTGAGAGAGAGTGTCACTAAGCTTGAAGCCATTAGTAAAGTAGTAGCCGGCTCAAACCAAGCTGATATACAACTCAAAAATAACAGTTGGGCATTCAACTGCTACAAGTTAGTTATGCGCAGCTCCACCCAAAGATCTAACGTTCAACACCTACCAGCCCATGCACTTATGTTTCCCTCCTCTTCTCTCTCCCAACTCCGCACAAAAGAAGAAACCTGAATTTCTTTGTTTTATATCCTTAAATCCTTCAGACCCCACATTCCTCTCTCTCTCTCTCTCTCTCTCTCTCTCTCTCTCTCTCTCTCTCTCATCACCATTGATGCCCCCTTAAAACAGCTACCCCTTTCGTCATTCAAGAATGTAATTGCCATGGGCGTGGACATGTCGAATCCCTCCTCTCGCACCAAAGATTTCTTTGCTTCTCCAGCTCTCTCTCTCACTCTTGTATACTTTCTGCTCTCTTTGGTTCAATAATTCGATAAGTTTTGGTCGGTTTCCACTCTCTTCTTTTTAATTTCTTTTCTTTTCTTTTTTTCTGGGTGAAGGCCGGTGTTTTTCGGGGTGCTGCTACACCGGCGGCAAGCGTGGAGGTGGAACAAGGTGACGAAGAGAGCGGAGGCGGAGGCCGAGAAGACGCAGTTGAGATTAGCAGCGAGAATACTGGCCCCGGAAGATCCGACGAAGATGGATACGCCGAGGGAGATGAAGAGGACGACGGTGAGGAGGGAAAGAACAAGAAGAAGAAGAGAAAGAAATATCACAGGCACACAGCCGAGCAAATTCGAGAAATGGAAGCGTGCGTTCTTCTCACTCCCTCTCTCTCTCTCTCTCTCTCTTTCTCTCTCTCTCACTCTTAGCTTTTCCTTCACTTTTCCATTTGACAGACTGCTGGGTTGACTCGGGAATTGCCTCGTTTCGATTCAATTCAATAGTTTGCACCCAATACCCACCATGAACCATCCGATATTTTACTGAAACAGAGTTTTCGATGCATTTTTGCGCCTTGATTGTTTTCAAAACAAACAAACAAAACGGGTCAAGGGCGTGCGTTTCCGACAACTTTGCGCTTCCTTTTTCTCACAATACAAATTTTGACTCAGGGGCCTACATGACTCAGAAGCACCGAGTTGACTCAGCCAGCTCTTGCTTCAATTTGAAAAATATATGAATAATGTACATTAATTACATATTTGAAAGCTCGTGACTGATAAAAATATCTTTTTCAATTGTAACTTTTCTACATATATGTGTATGACTAGTATATATCTTGTGATTTTAGTCTCTTTTCCCCTCTTCTCTTTTTGTCCTACCTATTTGTACATTTGTCTGGGAATTGCTAGATTCCTTCAATGCTCAAAATTAGAAATTTCAGCAATAATAGTTCAACTTTGCTTAATTTTAGTATTTAACAACATTGGTTTTTTGATTGTTTTCTTCTGCATTGAGAATTATCTGCTGTAGAAATTTGGGGAAAATCAGTTATTTAAACAATGACACTACAATAAATCAGATGAAAAAAATACATAAATTTATTAAATATTTGAATTCACTGAAAATTTAATTAAAAAATTAAAATTTTTTGCAACATTATCTTAAGGTATTGTCCACATTGACATGGATATTTGCATGCAGATTGTTTAAAGAATCGCCTCACCCAGATGAGAAGCAAAGGCAACAACTGAGTAAGCAATTGGGCCTTGCCCCTAGGCAAGTCAAGTTCTGGTTTCAAAATCGCAGAACCCAAATCAAGGTACATTAATTAACATCTTAATTCAGCCCAATTGTAGAAGATGGGCTGAAAATTTTTCTAATTTATCAATAATAAATGGGTGATTTTTTCCTTTCTTTTCTTTTTTTTTCTTTTTCTTTTTTTTTTTTTTTTGGGGGGGGGGTGTTGCAGGCAATACAGGAGCGCCATGAAAATGCTCTGTTGAAGTCTGAGATAGAGAAGCTCAGAGAAGAAAACCGAACCATGAGGGAGACCATTAAGAAGGCTTGTTGCCCAAATTGTGGCTTTGCTACCTCTAGCAAAGATGTAACGACTGAGGAGCAGCAGTTACGGATTGAAAATGCAAAGCTAAAAGCCGAGGTTAGTGTAATTTGTTCTTTGTATTTTTTATTTTCATGATAAACCCAAATTGAACCGGCAGAGCTGCTGCCTTGGTTTGGAACTTTGGATGATTTTAGGGGAGGGGGAGTTAACCCATTTGACCCGGACACAATGGACAGAGGACAGAGGGTGCTTTGGTACATGGATGTGTTATATTTATGAATTTTGTCATTGAGTTGGGACATGGGACAGGTCGATCCGCCAGTCAAACTGGGTTGACCGGCACGAACCGTTTGTTCCCTGATGTCGTATTGGGCCATTGAGTTTGAAAGCGGCTTCACCCCAATTACACGGAAGTAGTAGGTGACTGGCAGACTGCCAAAGGCGGGTAGCATCTAAAACATATACCAATATAAGGAAGTTAAAGAATATTCTGTGGGCCCCATTTGGGTCACTACAAGGGCCATTAATTACGTGTTTGGGCCTCATGGGCAGATAGGGTTATGGATTAAATACCTTCTATTCTATTCTATTTATTTATTTTTGCTTCCACCTATTCTAAAGCTATTGCCCGAAAGGTGTAAGAGTTGCATTGATGCATCCTATGTGTATATAAGTTTTTAAATACTTTTATATGGAGCTTTAAATGCCAAAATATGTGTAAATACTAATTTAAAACTTTAAATTAAGTGTGATCATTTTTCAGCCTAAATCGGTCCTAAAATTCTGAGTTTTTTTTTTTTGATAAGTAAACTAAACTATAAAGTATAATCTAACAAAAGGAATTTACATATAGTTCAATACAAGCTGGGCCTGCATCAGGCCCATAAATTTCAGGGATGGGTCTGGGCCCAAATATTTTAGGCTTAATCCACACATTTTTATACGTAATTTATACATATTTATATATATTATTTTATGTAGAAAATCTATTATGTGTATGATACCGGAAGAGAATTGACCAATCAAAACCCGTGAGTTTTGGTGAAAACCACTCACCAATTGATTGATTATAAGTTTTTTCAGTATCATGGTCAAATCCTATTTTATGATACTTAAAAAGAAATCATCAATCAACTGGTATCATAGAACTGGTAACCAATCAACTGTGTTATTCATCAAAATTTAGGGGGTTCTGATTGGTCAAAGTTATTTCCCTACTCTTCCAGCATCATAGAAATTGTCGGGTTCTTCTTTTTTTTTTTTTTGTTAAGGGCATTTTGATGATTAAAGGAGGCATAAGTTATTAGGCAAAACCCTAGGGCTGGAATAAATATTTGATTAAAAGTCTAATGAGGTATTATAGAGGTGTAACTTGGAATAAATATTTGCACCCTAGGTATTTATAGCTGGAAGGTGATATTTAAATAAAGAAGAATAAAATGAGCTAAAAAGTCTAGACGTTTGCCTTTTTTTTTTGTGTGTGTGTGTGTGTGGGGGGCATTGCTTGGTATTGTGGTGTTGCATTCTTGTTTTAGGACCACCTTAATGATTCCCTCCTAACAGCAAAATAATCCTTTTTGATAGAGGTGCTTTAGGTTGAAACAGAAACACAACACCCATATTCAATTTTGGGAAATTTAATTATTATTTGTTTCTGTTTACAATTTTTTATTGGTTTTTCTATATGCATTATCCTACACCCACATTTATTCTTCAATCTTCGCTTATATTGTGATAGTCCCCCCCACCTGTCACCTGTCACCGTTCCCAACTGTATAAATCTATAAAAATTTTATAAATTGGAATAAGGGGACAATCGGGGAAGCATTAAAGTGACAATTCTCCAATCTACACTGTCTTTAAACCAGAAACCATTAGGCTGTATAACATCAAAATCATGTTTGAAAGTGTTTAATTGGTTTGGGTAACCAAATCATGCTTGAAAGTTGAAGGTTGGGTAACCAAATGGGATTCACTTTTCATCAGTTCCTCCCGTTTCAGAAATGCCCAGTTAGCCCAAGTGGAATCACTGCTTGCAAAATGTGAAGCGATGTTGATGTGTGTTTGGTGGGTTGTTACTGATTACACCTTAAACAAAACAGAAATGCAACACCACGATAGCAAGCGCAACCTTTCTTTTAACATTTGGATATTTGACTGAGAGTGAGAGTTAAAGGGTTTTAATTTGGCTGTTGATTCTTCTCTTGTTTGCAGCTAGAAAAGTTGCGGGCAACCATCGCGAAATACCCTCCGGGGACGGCATCACCCAGCTCCTCCTGCTCGGCCGGAAACGACCAAGAGAACAGAAGCTCCTTAGATTACTACACTGGGATATTTGGGCTTGAGAAGTCCAGAATATTGGAGATCGTCTACCAAGCTCTGGAAGAGGTCAACAAGATGGCAACTGCAGGTGAACCTCTGTGGGTTCGAAGTGTTGAGACTGGCCGCGAAATACTCAATTACGACGAATATGTTCGCCAGTTCTCGGTTGAGAATTCAAGCAATGGACGGATCAAAAGATCCATTGAAGCCTCAAGAGAGTCTGGTGTAGTCTTCGTAGACCTCTCAAGGCTAGTTCAAGCTTTCATGGACGTGGTAATTAAGATTTTCGCCACCTTAATTTTCCTTATGATTAATTCGACTCTGAGGCAAGCATCTTTTGATTAATCCCCATTTCATTGTATGTTCTTGTGTTGCAGAATCAATGGAAGGAGATGTTTCCTTGCATGATCTCTAAGGCAGCCACCGTAGATGTAATCTGCGATGGAGAAGGCGTCAATAGAAATGGTGCTGTGCAGCTAGTAAGTAATTAAGCATTTTTTATGTGTCTTAGTTATGTAATGCATTTTAAGTTTAGTTGTGATGAAATTGTTCCAACAACAAATGCATCAATCTATCTATCTCAGATGTTTGCAGAACTGCAAATGCTCACACCCATGGTGCCCACAAGAGAGGTGTATTTCATCAGATACTGCAAGCAACTAAGCCCCGAGCGGTGGGCTATCGTTGATGTGTCGATCGACAAAGTTGAAGACAATATTGATGCATCCCTTGTCAAATGCAGGAAAAGGCCATCTGGCTGCATCGTCGAGGACAAATCTAATGGTCACTGCAAGGTATTGTTCTCACTCCACCCAGTGAAATTCACAGAACGATGATTGAGCTGAATTTCTTGGATGATTAATATGTAGTACTAGTCAAATTTCAGTGTTGATGATCTTCAATTGTTTTCAGGTGACTTGGGTCGAGCACTTGGAGTGCCAGAAAAGCACAGTCCACACTATGTTTCGCTCAATTGTTAACAGTGGCACTGCGTTTGGCGCCAGGCACTGGATGGCAACACTCCAGCTCCAATGTGAGAGGATTGTTTTCTTCATGGCAACCAATGTACCCACCAAGGATTCAACTGGTGAGCTCCACATGCATTCAACTTATTGTTCTCTCATGTATATTTGTGAATGATCAGTTCTTTAGGTGGGTGTTTGGCATTCGAGCGTTTTACATACATTCCATTTCATCTGTTTTTTTTTTTTGAAAATACAAAAAAAAATATTAAGATATTGACTGATTGGGCGTTTAAAATGATTTAACTTAATATTATAATATATTTATAAACATCTTATAAAATAAATCAGCTTTTTCAAATTTTAATGTGTCACATCATCATAGTGATTCAAGACCACCTAGAACATCACGATTCAAGAAACCCCTCCTTTCACAAATCGGTGAACTAATTATTGCAAAAACATGTTTTTTTGAAAAACAGATTTGTCAAATGCAATTTTCTTAACTGTTGATGTGATATTAATTATTAATAATACATTAAAAAAATAAAATAAAATACTTGTAAAACACTCCGATGCCAAAAACTCGGTAGAAATAATCATACAGTTTCACATGCATGAAATTAACTTCAGGGGTGGCCACTTTGGCCGGAAGGAAAAGCATTTTGAAGCTGGCACAACGAATGACATGGAGCTTTTGCCGTGCGGTGGGTGCATCTAGCTTTCACACATGGACCAAGATCTCAACCAAGGGAGGAGAAGACATAAGGGTGGCCTCTAGGAAGAATTTGAACGACCCAGCAGAACCTCTTGGGGTGATCTTGTGTGCAGTTTCTTCTGTATGCTTGCCTGTCTCACCCCATATTCTCTTTGATTTCTTGAGAGACGATTCTCGACGACATGAGGTGAAGTCACTGTCTCCTTTTCCCTAATCCCCTCTTAAACTGTAATTTATTGTATTTTAATTCTTGATAGACTTTAGGGGTGTTCTCCAATGTGAATTATTTTTCTTGTTGTGACTTTTCCGATTACATCTGATTTGAAAATTGCTTCGTAGAACAAAAGTACAGAAAATATGCTCTTGGTTGTGTATGTGGATTTTGTTTCCAAAACTAAAGCAAAAAATGTGTTCTTGAATTTCTGGTTTAATTAAAGAACATGTTTTCTTATTCCAAAATTGTATTTTGTGATTTCAAAAACTTGGGTGGTTTTTTGCTTTTGAAAACAGAAACTTAGTTCAAGAATCAAAATTGTGTTTCATTTTTTTTTTGGCGATGCAACAAATGAAAACAAAAACATTCATGTGTTCTCTTTATGAAAATTATAATATGTCCATGATCAATTAGTAATTTCTGTTTGATAAATTTTAGTGGGATATCATGTTAACTGGAGGCCCAGTACAATCCATTGCAAATTTGGCTAAGGGACAAGATCGCGGCAATGCAGTAACAATTCAGGTGAGTTTGCTTTGTTATCTTCTTCAATCTAACTTAAAGTAGAGTGATTACTGGCATCCTTAAGACTGAGTTTGGAAGGAGTATAAATGCAAATATGAAGAGTGCAAAATCTTATATTTTGTATTATTTTGTATGCATTTATGCTGTATATATTTGCATTTATGCTCTTTCCAAACTGAGCCTAAGGCTGTATTTGGTTTGAAAAGGAAACTTAACTTAACCTTATTTTGCATTTTTTTTTTCAGGCAATGAAATCAAAAGAGAGTAGTGTATGGATACTCCAAGATAGTTGTACAAATGCTTATGAATCCATGGTTGTATATGCACCTGTGGACATCACTGGAACGCAATCAGTTATAACAGGATGTGATTCAAGCAATGTCGCCATTTTGCCTTCAGGTTTCTCAATTCTTCCAGATGGGCTTGAGACAAGACCTCTTGTTCTCACTTCCAGGCCGGAGGAGAAGACCACAGAAGGGGGTTCCTTGCTTACCATAGCTTTTCAAATCCTGGCCAATACCTCTCCCACAGCCAAACTAACCATGGAGTCTGTAGAAACTGTTAACAACTTCATTTCATGTACATTGCAGAACATTAAGACAAACTTGCAATGTGAGGATGCTTGATTGATTTAGCTTTGTAAAATACTTATATACCAAGTTAATTGTAAAACGGCTATAGTATTTCCACACATGATTGACCATTTAAAATGTGAGCCAATTTTGCTTCATGGATCAGAAACCCTTGGTGTATTTGCAAGATATTCATCTGGGTCAATTTAACAAGATCTTGGTCCTTCTCTACTTGTGCTATTTGCTTAGGCTCAGTTTGGAAGGAATACAAATGCAAATATGCAGAGTGCAAATTATTGTATTTTGTATTATTTTATATGTATTTATATTGTACATATTTGTATTTATACTTTTTCTAAATCAAGCCTTAATTGGCATATATGATCTTATATGGGTGTAAGCAAATCAAGTTACTTGTGAGTTACTTGAACTCAACTCGCTAAATACACGAATTTGACTTGCAAATAATCGAGTTTGAATCAAGTTCGAGTAGCTGAATAGTTAATTGAATAAAGATATATTTGGATTTTATAATACTTGGTTCGAGCAACTCGTGAGCCTAATCGAGTATTTAATAAAATATTTATTTTTAATATATTTTATTTATAATACTCTCAATATATTTAATATTTTATGATTCTTTTTACCTGGGTTACCTTATGAGTCTAGCCGAGTTGATACTCAAGTATGTCGAGTATCTCATTGAGTTCAGTTCATCAACTAGGAAAATCTAAATCCGATTGAATTCAAGCTGAGTTTTGGGTAGCAAGTTTTTAAATAAATTAAAAGAAAATAAAAACGAGTTCGAGTAGTGCAATGTATCAACTCGGCTCAGCTTGATAACACCCCCTAATCTTAAAAAGGTCCAACATTGTTAGTTGCCAGATGTTTGGGATATCAGGAGGAGAGGGCTGGATATAGAGCTAATATTTATTTTTATTTTTATTTTTTCACAAAATGGTATATTGATGTTAACCTTCAAACAAATTAATATTTCAATGTTAACCATAGGTTCACTATTAGTGATTGAGGGCTATGAATTATTTTTTTTTCTTTGTGATTTCAAGAAAACTAGGGCCCATAGTTTGTTTATAAAATATAATTTTCAAAAAGCATTTGATAATTGGATGGAGATTCCAATTGAAGGGTTAGTAGTTCGCATTTCTTATCTTGTTTTTTATTCATTTTTTATTCATACCTTTGATCCAAGTTTGTTTAAATGTGGGGAAATGTAATCTATAGAGATTTAAAGCAACTCTTGTAAAAAGGTTTAAAGGAAAATTCAATATGTAAAATACCAAATAATAGCCCAAGTAATTTATCAAAAAAAAAACAAAGTAAAAATTTGGAAATAAAAGCATAGGTTTGCTATAAAAGCATCTGATGGATGACGATTTGACCCGACCTATGAAACGGTGACACATGGACACTGACTCAGCATGAGCGATAGCTCAGTGTTGTAGCCTGGTACGATCAAGTGACGGGCCCATAAAGTAGTTCGCTACATTGTAGCTCACAAAAGGAGAAGCTCGCCACAACGCGAGCTCCGGGTTCCCTGAGCTACCTTTGAAGAGATACTCCGAGGCAACTTTAGCTCGCGAGCTAAAGTTATTAGCTCGTCCGAGCCCTCAAGCAGACAAGTCATCCCAAGGACCAATTCTGCTAAGGATAATCGTGGAGTGTTCTAGGCTCGCTACAAAATAGCTCACGAATGAGCCGCATGAGCGCTCCTCAGGAAGCTTCTGACTGACAGGCCGTACCGATCAGACTACGCCATATCCCTTACTGACGGCGCAGTCCCAATTCTTTCGGCAGTCTGCGTCCACGTCTCTTAATAGGCAAAGGCATGCCTGCCACTTTGGAGACGTGTCACTCACCCAGACGAGACGTACGCCACAACGGCCACCTGCGCAGCCCTGGCAGGTAACGGCTGTGACAAGAGCCCAGTGGCGGCTATGCCTGACCTGATGTGAGTGCCCCTATAAAAGCCCTCAGGGCAGAAGAGAAACTTCTTCTTGAGACCTTTAATCTTTCGAGTATAGTGAGAATGCACTATTTGCACTCTTAGCCTTCGTCTACTTTTTGCTTCTCCTACAGAGTACTAACTTAAGCATCAGAGTATCCCCACCGGGTAAACTCCCCAGGGATTCTTCTTCTTCTTCATCTCAGGTACCTTCCAGGAGCCACGTGAGTGCCAGCTAGGAGTGGCCGGATCGCGCTACATCATTTGGCGTCGTCTGTGGGAAACGCTTTGAAAAGCCTTTCTCTAAACTTTCACATCTCTTTACTCTTCAAAAACTCAATACTCATGGCTTCCTCTACCAACATCGGACGAAGCATGGATATGGATAACTCTAGGGAACAGCCTCAGCTTCCTACTGTCTGCATCGGACAGTTCACCGTACCCCCTCTCGGCGGACGGGATCCCTAGCCTGAACGTGCCTCTCACAGGAGCACCGGTCGTTGCTCCACTCCCTACTACAGTTGGAGCAACCTTCACCGAACCCTCGGTTGTGCCCCCAGCGGCCAACCTGAGCCAACTGGAGGACTTGGTGCAGTGCATGCGGGCCATGCAGGCTCAAATGCAACAGTTTCAACAGTTTCGGATCTATCAACAGCACGTGCTACACCAGGTCTCCCAGTACCAGTATCAGCAGCAATTTCCCCAGCTGCCACAACCTCAGCTTCAGCAATTGCAGCTCCCTCCTCGGCACCCAACCTCACAGCGGACTAGGTCCCATCGTCAAGAGGAGCACCTTTCTCGCCAAGGAAAGGCCCCCCAGAACCCTCCAAGGAGCTAGGCCTCCTCCCGCGGAAGACAGGAAAGACCGGTCACTCCGGCCTCACCACGGGCGGTCAGGTCAGAAGGACCCCAGCTCGCCAAGTCCATTTCGCCTCAGCCCTCCAAGCCCGATACCCCGTTCTTAGAGAACCGGTTCGAGATTCTGGCCGCAGGCTCTAAGCAGGATCCCTCTATCCGTAGTCACCACTAGCGGCCCGAGCTACTTCCTACACACACCATCCCGGACAGCACAGAGGTGAGCAGTACAAACGTCGAGCCCGCCAAGAAGCAGAGACGCCACCGCCGAGCTTGCCGGTCTGCCACCCACGACCTGTCCGAGCTCGGGGGCAAAGAAGAAGCCTGGGCGAAGTCAAGGCTCCCATCCTTTCAGTTCAATCCCTCTATCTTCCGAGCTCCTGGCAGTCCCGATGCCTAAAGACTTCAAGCTCCCCCCTCTTGACAAGTACGACGGGTCGTTCGACCCGAGTGACCACGTAGATGCCTTCTAGTCGCAGATGCACCTGGCAAGAGCCAATGAGTCGTGCATGTGCGTGGCCTTCTCCACCACTTTTAGAGAAGCAGCCCGTACATGGTACCGGAACCTGGCACTTGGATCGGTAAAAAGTTGGGTGCAGTTTACACAAGCCTTCACGTCCCACTTTGTCACCAGCAAGCGGTGTCCGCGAACTGAAGAGAGTCTCCTCAGCATAGTGTAGAGAGAAGGAGAACCCATCCGAAGTTATATCAAGCGGTTCAACGATGTGTGCATGCAGATACCGCGCTTGGACCCCGCTGTGCGCCTCACAGTAGCCAAGAAAGGCGTGACGCATAAAGAGTTCAAGTGGCACATGGTCGTCAACCAACCGACGACCATAACTGAATTTCTTAAGCTCGCGGACAGGTTCATAGCCACCGAAGAGGAGATCAACCAGAAGGGCGAGGGCGCGCCCAAAAAGAGGAAGAGGGAAGGAGAGCCTTCCAGTCAAGGGGATAGCCGAAAGAAGAAGGATGCAGCTCAGGGGGCAAAGCCGGGTCAGTCGTTCCGAGCTCCTATAGCGGACCGAACTGATTACACTCTACTGAACGCAAAGCGGGCCGAAATTCTGATGGCGATCAAGGACACCCCGTATGTGAAGTGGCCACCCCGCTTGAGGAGAAATCCTAATGAGAGAAATAAGAATATGTACTGTAGTTTTCACAGAGATCACGGTCATAGCACCAAAAACTGCAAAAAGCTCCCCAACGAGATTGAGGAGCTCATTCGTTGCTGATATTTAAGGAACTTTGCACAAAATAATAATAGGAATAATAAAGTAGGTCGACAAGGGGAGCACGGTAAGGATGCTCCCGAGTCCAGCAGCAGGTCGGCCGAACAGCCACAGAGGCAACCTCCGGAAGAGGCCAATTCGGGGAACCATCCACATGATAGTGGGAGGTTCGATCGTCGCGGGTTGTACTTCAGCAACAGCTCGAACGTCAGTTCGTGAGGCCGCCCGGGAAGAACAGAATCGTCCAAAGCGGTCGAGGACAGAAGAGCCAAATTTCTTTACAGAAGATGATGCGTGAGGGGTCCATTACCCCCACGATGACGCACTCATAATAAAGCTGAGAATCAATGACTTCGAGGTCAGGCGCGTACTCGTTGACTCGGGCAGCTCGGCCGACATCCTCTTTAAAGCTACGTTCGACCAGCTTCAGTTGCAGAGAAGCGACCGAAAGTCTACGGACACTCCTTTGGTGGGCTTCACTGGAGAAGAAGTCTGGCCCCTTGGGAAAATAACAGTACCTGTGGAAGTCGGCACATGGCCTTGCGTAGTTAGATTAAAACACGACTTTCTGGTGGTTGTGATCCCCTCCCCATACAATGCCATAATAGGCCGGCCGATTACCCGTGTCCTACGGGCGGTGGTCTCCACCTATCATTTGGCTATGAAGTTCCCAATAGACTTCGATGTGGGGGTAGCGCGGGGCGACCAGCTCGAGTCCCGCAAGTGCTATGTCGCCGCCCTGAAGGGAAAGACCAAGGTGGCTGACGACCTCAAACTGGAGCGGCCTACGGAGAAAGGCGAAGAACAAGCCACGCCCATGGAAGAAGCAGTCGCAATCCCGACCTCAGCAGCAGACCCAGCTCGGATGCTTCAGATCAGTGCTTCCATCTAGGAACCTCTACGATCCGAACTGGTAAGTTTCTTACTTCAAAATTTAGATATTTTTGCATGGTCTGCGGTAGAGATGCCTGGTATAGACCCCAACCTTATGACTCACAAGCTGAATACTAATCCTGTAGTTAGGCCCGTTAAACAGAAGAAACGTAACCTAGCCCTGGAGCGGTGGAAAGCGGTCGACGAGGAGGTCGTGAAGCTCCTCGCAGCTGACTTCGTAAGAGAAGTCCACTACCCTAGTTGGGTAGCCAACCCCATCCTGGTAAAGAAGGCCAACGG